GCAGAAGTAGGAAGTAGTTGCTATAGCCGTTACTGCAACAGTGGTAAGTAGTTTCAACATCAAACCTGTATTAGCCTGTACTGATATATTATCCACAAAAAAAATAGTTTGTCAAGTTGCAACATTTACCAGCGATAAAGCTATCCACCCCTGATAAAGCTATCCACCCCTGATAAAGCTATCCACCCCCGATAAAGCTATCCACCCCTCGATAAAGATATCCACACCTCGCATGTATAATTCCTGGGGGGAGATTTATCAAGCTCTTATATTTTCCCCGTTAACATTAATAATAATAGTCTCCCCTCCCCCCCCCACCCCCCCAATCAAAATGCCCATTTGCAACACCCACTTGCAAGCTCGTTACCAGTATCGATACGTCTGCAACATTAACCGTGCAACATTATCCCTAATACAAAAATCTTTAAGCGCATCAAACCACCAGTACGGAGCAGTAGCGGCAATCGCTGCTAACTTATTGGACCTCAAAAAAATAGCCATTTCTCCTCTTGTTTTTGGCGAGAGTGAATTGTAATTACGTTGATTAGTGGCAATTCGGTATCCGAAATCAGTTGCATATCAATGGGCGTTGTAATAGATTAATGAAAGTGGTTGTCGTTGAACACGTGGTCGTTCTCGGTGAACACGTGGTGCTTTGACTCAATATTCTCAATAGCATTTATCGGACTGTTTCGGAAAAGAATTTTGAGGTATTAATGTATGTATACGCAAATACTGGTTATGCGTATGTATATTGTTGTAGTGAGCAATTATATTGGAATATACTTAAGACTGATCTTGCTAAAAGAATATATATATATATATATATATATATATATATATATATATATATATATATATATATATATATATATATATATACACACATTCATTTTATAGGGGAGAATATCGTCATTTGGTCTTCTTGAAGACTACTGCATATATATATATATATATATATATATATATATATATATATATATATATATATATATATATATATATATATATATATATATACATATATATATGACAGTGACAGACCACGGAGGCAGAATTGAAACAGGAATTTCCTTAAGTACTTTCGTATATTAATACATCTTCAGAAGGAATGCATTAATATACGAATGCATTAATGAAGATGTATTAATATACGAAAGTACTTAAGGAAATTCCTGTTTCAATTCTTCCTCCGTGGTCTTACACTGTCACATTTTTCATCGCGTGTTAATTTTCGTGATTTACACACACACACACACACACACACACATATATATATATATATATATATATATATATATATATATATATATATATATATATATATATATATATATATATATATATATAAATAAATATATATATATATATATATATATATATATATATATATATATATATATATATATATATATATATTCGGGAAACCAAAAATAGAGCGCTTTCGTGTAAATCAACACATCATCAACAATATAAACAATGCACTACAATACTTGCAATATTTAGGCACGAAAAAGGAAGATGACATGTGAGGTGAATAAATAATGTCTTTATAATATTGATTCCACGAACATGAGAAATCTCACAGATTAAGGAGCAAATCAAGAAGAAAATACTCCCAACTATCAAAAGTCGTCACAGAGCCATAATAGCGGAAGGAAGATCCACTGCGATATGGTACGAACAAGCCACTGGGTACTACTCTTTCTAGCCTGGCAAAAAGATATCCAAAGACATTGCAGTAGCCATACACAGACTCAGACTTGGTTACAAGTGCTGCTGGGAGGTAATGAACCCAATAGTTAAAGAGTGTCATATCTGTGGAACAGAAGCAGAGGCGCCACTATTGCACTACTTACTGGAATGTGTAGCTACTGAAGCCCTGCGCATCAAACTCAACATTAATCCAAAGACACCAGCTGCATTAAATACAAAATCCACAGCGACTACAATCGTTAAAAAGCAGTTGAAGAATGGGACACACTAGTGAACATTGTTCATCTATATCCGCCACCAAGATAACGTTATTAAAAACATTAAATCAGCGGGAAAAGAAAGAAACTCTACCTTCATTTAAAACTCCGACCCAGATATCACACTAACAAGGTTATCATGAATAACCGAACTCAATTACGGGCTCACTATAGCCCGTGCTACATAGAAATTTTGTTCAGAGTAGCTGAATCTAAAACAACAAGAACAAGATGAGAAATATTATATAGCCACTGTTAACCCGAATGATACTTTCCTTTCCCTTCTGGTGCCTAAATATTCTAAGTATTATATAGCCTAGTATATAAAGTTGATGATGTGTTGATTTAAACGAAAACTCTCAAGTAATTTTTTGTTTCATTTCCCCCTTCGTGTTTATATGTTATATATATATATATATATATATATATATATATATATATATATATATATATATATATATATATATATATATATATACTAGTATAGCACATATATGTACTTAGGCCTTAATGTGTAATAGGCTTAGGATGGTTAGGTCAGTTTTATTAGCAACCTAAATACGAAGCCTTTCTCCAGTTCGTGGACATTCACAAGCACCAAATTCTACTTTTCAACTGTCTGTTACGTTAGTATATCGTACTGTAGGTCCAGGCTGTTACTGTAGGTCCTGTTCTCTCTAAATAGGAGAATGGGTTGATATATAAATATTATTTATGCTATCAGCATAGGAGATATATTTTTTGTATTAATTCGTAAGCTTTCCAGTTCACGAAAAAAAAAAGTTTCGGTGTCACGAAAGCCACTGGATTGTTTTAAGGTAAAAAACAAAATCATTTGAAAAAAATGGAAGCCTCCCCATGGCCAAATTTCCAGCAAGTGATATCTAACGATGGTCACGAGTAGTGTAAATGATAACTTAAAAAGTGAGGAAGATAGCGTAGAGATGCTTACAGTAATGACGGGTGTATGTTATTGTCTGTAATTATCCACAATCACACGGCCATCTTCATCACTCGATACTTGCTGAAAGTTTGGTCATGAGGCTTCCAATTTTTTTCAAATTATAATATTCTTTTGGCCCAAGAAAACAATCCGAGGGCTTTTGTGCATTACACGAACGCCTAAGATTATTTTTATTTTTTCCTTCTTATACGAATGCCTTATGCATTTTATATATATATATATTTATAAAGGGGGGTACCACCTCTGGTTGTTTGTAGGGACCCTCAAGACTCGAAGACGATATGCTGCATCCCGGGGAGCCTTGTCGGGCTCCCACGTGTGCTGGCACATATTGTCTTCTCCTACCACCAGCCTTACATATGTGTTTATTTTATTTAAACTTTAAACGTGTGTGTGTGTAGTTTGTAGTTACAGGATGAGAGCTACGCTCGTGGTGTCCCGTCTTCCCAGTACTCTTTGTCGTATAACAGCATGTGTATGTAATTATCTACACACACATACACACGTGTGTGTGTGTGTGTACTGTGTATACACACGAATACTCTTCGCAGGTGTGGAAGCGACCTTTCTTTGTTGATTCACGTCACTACTATTAATCTGCAACTAGAACAATTGCAGTCGTTAAATGAAAACAAGAAAACTTAAAATGAATTCCAAACAGGTGTGTACATACATCACTTTGTAAACTACAGCTCTATAAAATACTCCACTGTATTGAACACAGCTATATGAAACATAGTTCCACAGCTATATGAAATATAGTTCCACAGCTATATGAAATATACCGCTGTATAGCTATGTTTTAAACAGCTATGTAAAACAATCAGATTAAGTCTGAAACAGTTATATAAGAAAATTTCCTAATCCTCTTTGCAAATTAATTAGATCATATTTCACACAGTTTTGTAAATACTTTGGATTCTCTCTAAACGTCTATTACCTGGAAACAAAAAAAAAATCTAAATTTGAAAATAACGAATAAAGAAACTGACTGATGAATATATAAAAGAAGGAATCCAATTAAACTTGTACGTGGCATAGAGACATTTATTATTTAATATCTAACACAGAATTAGCATCATCATAACAATATTATTTACAGAGGAAGGGAAAGAGAGAGAGAGAGAGAGAGAGACATATCATAAAACAAACACAGTATTGTTTATCAATCAACAACAACAGCGACATTTGTGTACCACTCCGACCCTTCCCTTGTATGGGAGACAAAAGCTAACATTTGAGTAGGGTCATCTAGATCCTATTTCTGAAGAACTTTCTTATACAGTGAATGGATATTTCATTGCATTACTATCCAGTTGGGCAGCAGCAGCAGAGACAAGGGTAGGGAGGGAGGAAAGACTGCGACACTATCACCTAGGTAGACTAGTTATTTCTAGAGTTTGGACGATTTGTAGTGTAACTAGAGCAACGTAGAGGTTTAGACAGGTGTGAGAGAGAGTGAGAGAGAGAGGGTTACAGCACATTGAGTTGATAAGTTACAGGTTTTTAAAAACAGACACAGAACGAGGGGATGAAAAGGGTGGCCCCGGTAACACTGCCAATAATAAATTAAGTGCTTAGTTGACTGACTATCTGTATATAAATATGATTTCTGTGTGGAGGTAAGTTTAACACCGGGATATGAGGCTGTCTGTACTCAAGAGTCACTTTCCGTTTCACAGAGCAGTTTGTGTAAGGTTGCGATGTTCAGCTGGTGATTAAACAGAAGGTAATTACAAGTAACTGAACAGCAGGTACGAACAGGGATTCAAGGAATAAGTAAACAAGGAACTTCTTTCTAGAGTGTGAACTGAGTCTCCACCTCGGCAGCCTAAGGTGCTAGCCCTTGAGGTATATATATATATATATATATAAATAAATATATATATATATATATATATTACACATACATAAATGTATATTATCACACATGGATAAACTCACTGGAATTCTTCTATTCATCTTCCTTCAACGTCCAACGTCAGCGCAAAGTTATATATATATATATATATATATATATATATATATATATATATATATATATATATATATATATATATATATATATATATATATAAGGTTTAATTTATCAATCACTGGTGAAGATGTCTCCTCCACGTTTATCAGTCCAGCGTGTCTCAGATCACCTGGAACCTCTCCAGACAAACAACACACTTCCTCTCACAGATGGTTGGCACGCGGGAATACAACAAGCCAAACACTTGCTTGTTAGAGTAGGATAGTTCCAGACTTCACGTGAGGAGGAGGGATTGGGGGGGGGGGATCCCGACAGAACCTCTTCATGGGGAAAGTAATTAACAGGAGCCACACGACCCGAGGCTCCCGGCCTGTGGACTAGAAGATCATGCGTGGAGTAGTGTGGGTGCCGTGTGGGGGAGGCTGCTGTGGGGGGCTGTGTCGCGGGTACACTGTCACCGTCAGATGGACCGGACGGACGGGGACGTGCGGAGGAAGAGTTCCTCTGAGGGCACCTGCTGGGGGCCCCCGGCTGGTGGCCCCCGTGGCCCTCTCTCCTGCGCTGGCAGCTTATGGGTGCTGGAGTGCGACGCAGCCCCCTCTGCTACCTCGGTCATTCTGGAGGGGATTCTGGTGTCTGCTGGAGTCTCTTCTGCGTCGTCGTCCTCCACGTGGATAGGCTCGTCGTCGTCGTCTTCGTCGTCAGATCTGAGGTCGTGGAGACGTGAGTCGTGGAGCGCCAGGGCAGCTGCTGGGGGCACCATGGGGCTCCTCAGCAGCTGCGTCGGAGGAGAGCAGCTGCCCAGGAGGCGGGAGACGGAGTAGTCGGAGGCCGTGGAGGCCAGGACTGCGGAGAGGGCGGCCGTGGAGGTCCGCGGCGCCACCGCCTGCGGCCGCAGCGGCAGGGAGGAGGTGAAGGGGTTGAGGACAGAGAGGGAGGCCAGAGTGAGATGCGACATGTGCACTGCGGCGGGTCTCACCAAGGGCGCCGCCCCTCCGCACGGCGCCAGCGACGCCGCCATGGCCGCAGCGGCGTACAGGTGATGCAGGGAGGGGGCGAGGTGAGGCGGGTGCGGCAGCATGTGCGGCAGCGGCGGGTAGGGCGAATACTGGGTGGTGGGCGGTAGCGTGGGCGGCGGGTGGGCAGGGATGGCGTCGGTGGGCGGGAAGGGCAGCGGGCGGTGCGTGAGGGAGGCGTGCGGCAGCGGGTGCGGCAGGAAGCCCATGGGCAGCGACACCGGCGGCATGGGCGGCAGGTGCTGCGGCAGCTTGGCGTCCGAGGCTGCCAGACTCTCCACGGTGAAGGGCTGTTTAGTCTGCTGCGGCAGGTGCTGCAGAGCCCCGGGTCCGCCCCCCAGCAGCGTCTCCCCCGAGCACCGTGAAGCCTCCAGACACCGCAGAGGATTGTTGATCTGCGCGAGGCCGGCCTCGAGGGCGTCCTTCTCGGGCTTGGGTATCTTGAACCTCTTCCTGCGGCGGAGGAAGCTGCCGTTCTCGAACATATTCATGGCGGACGGGTGTAGAGTCCAGTAGGCGCCCTTGCCGGGCCTGTCTGGCCGGCGGGGTATCTTGATGAAGCAGTCGTTGAAGGAGAGGTTGTGGCGCAGGGAGTTCTGCCAGCGCTGAGTGTTCTTGCGGTAGTAGGGGAAGTTGTCCATAATAAACTTGTAGATCTCTGCCAGCGTGCACATCTTCTCCGGGCTGTTCCAGATGGCCATGGCCGTCAGGGAGATGTACGAGTACGGCGGCTTCTGATCCCCGTAACTCTCGCGTGAAGGACGCGGCATAGTGGCTGTCTATATCACTTAAGCATCCGATCACAAAGACACCCTATTAGCACTGGAACAGTTCACTGAGCGCGGCACAGACGGGAGAGTGCCAGATTGAGTAAGCTCGACACCAGCGTTCACCATCACCCGGAGACGATCACTGAGGCGCTCAAGCAACACTTATTACATATAAGGCACCACACTTCACACCTTGGACTCCACCCATGTCCGCTGATTGGTCACTCACCAGCGAGGGGGCGGGGCTTCATAGGACAGTGGGCGGAGCTCCGCGCATTGCCAACCCTCCCGACGTCGTACGAATCCTCGCAACTTTGAACGTTAAAGTCTCTCTGATGTACATAGTTGAGCTACAATGAATAATGTTATGATATTCAAGGGACCTAAATTTATGTGGCCCCACCCTTGTAGATATAAAATGAGTTATGGCCATCCTTTTCATATCAAATTATTGTCGCAGACTTCGGACACGAGAACATTAAATCAAGAACGCTGATTGATTGTTAAAATATGACTCTAATCTGCTTCATAATCACCAGCTGCGGTTTGCATCGCTCTGTCTGTATTCGTTTACCCTCTAGGCATCAATAAGAGCCACTCGGCAGACACACAAACAAACAAACAACTCTTCTAAGACAATAATATCGCAAGGCAAGGTGTAAAAAAACGGAATATTCGCAGTGTTGCCATATATACAGACATTTCTTTTGCAAGCTGCAAAGCGAACATGGAATGAATATATCACGGGCGTTTTGGCCTTCTGCTTGCATATTCCTTCAATAATCAATTTACAGCGCTTTTTAAATATTTCACTGTACTGAGGAATATGTTCACAAACTCCTAAAAACAGTTGGGATTTCTATGTAATGATTAGTTTATATAACATTTTATTTCAGTATTATTCCAAACTTAAACAGGTGGGATACAGGTGTCTATAGCGAGTGTCTGTACAATTTGTACTATAAAAAAAAAACACAAAGTTTATGCAGTCAAATGTGGTACAGTGGGTTATAGGTTTCTTGTCTCTTAAATCATGAGAATTGATTTTCGTTCAAAAAAAAAATTCAAAAGTACATAAGTCAGTTTGAGTAAAGTATCCCATCCATATTTGGGAGTGGCATCTTCAGAACGAGCGGGAGAGAGAGAAAAAAACTTGTTCGATGCCCCTGAGAGTCCAGATCCAAGCAGCTTCCAGTTGCTCTCATAGTGCCCAAACTGGAAATAGCAACAACGCCCAGTTTTACTAGCCAGTGTCCCAAGAGGAAAAAAAAACGATGTTAAGTTCAAGTTCAAGTAAGTTTATTGAGACAACGCGATACATCTCAAAAGGATAGAGTTGCTCGTAGGCTATTTCTATCCTCCCATAGGTTATGTCTAGTTCTATTAGCCAATATCCCAATAGGAAATAGCTATATCTAGTGCTACTAGTCAGTGACCCAATAGGAAATAGCAATATCTAGTTCTACCAGCCTCAAAAATCAAAAAGGGGTTCCCATTACCATTCAACGATTCAAAATTAATATTTTGCCAACTTTTTCGTTCATCGGGTATTTTGGAAACAAAACCCCATTAGGAGTGCCGGCACGGTGGTCAAAGGGAGGGGGGAGGAAGATGGATTCGAATCTTGGGTTGTGGAGTCACATTCAGTGACCAAGTAGATGAAGTAGATGAGTTGTGGGAGAATGTGAGACGTTAGAGTATGTACTCACTTGGTAGTGCTTGCGGGGGTTTGACCTTCGGCTCTTTGGTCCCGCCTCTCAACTGTCAATCAATTGGTGTTCAGGTTCCTGAGCCTATTGGGCTCTATCATATCCACATTTGAAACTGTGTATGGAGTCAGCCTCCACCACATCACTGCCTAGTGCATTCCATATATTAACTACTCTGACACTGAAAAAAAGTTATTTGTAATGTCTCTGTGGCTCATTTGGGTTCTAAGTTTTCACCTGTGTCCGTTGCACCTGTGTGAGTCGTGGGAGGTTGTGAGTCGTGGGAGGTTGTGAGTCGTGGGAGGTTGTGAGTCATGGAAGGTTGTGAGTCGTGGGAGGATGTGAGTCGTGAGTGGATACGAGTCGTGGAAGGATACGAGTCATAGGAGGATACGAGTCATGGGAGGATACGAGTCGTAGGAGGATACGAGTCATGGGAGGATACGAGTCGTAGGAGGATACGAGTCATGGGAGGATACGGGTCGTAGGAGGATACAAGTCGTAGGAGGATACGAGTCGTGGGAGGATATGAGTTGTGGGAGGATACGAGTCGTGGGAGGATACGAGTCGTAGGAGGATACGAGTCGTAGGAGGATACGAGTCGTAGGAGGATACGAGTCATAGGAGGATACGAGTCGTGGGAGGATACGAGTCGTAGGAGGATACGAGTCGTAGGAGGATACGAGTCGTGGGAGGATACGAGTCGTGGGAGGATACGAGTCGTGGGAGGATACGAGTCGTAGGAGGATACGAGCCGTAGGAGGATACGAGTCGAAGGAGGATACGAGTCGTGAGAGGATACGTGGGAGGAACTGAATATAGAGGAAAAAAAGTTTTAAAATAAACAGAGGTGGGGGGGGGGAACCCCTAACTAATTGAATGCAAAGTCACAGAAAGAGCAGAACCATAAGCGCCAATTATTGTCGAATGAGGCCCCAAGGAGAGAGGAGGGGGAGCACGTGGGTCAAGCCCAATAGCCTACTAATTTACACAAATAATTTCTGTTGTAGGGGACAGAGAGCCTGTACTTAGGCTCATGGAGGTGTGGTAAGCCAACTACTGACCTTACCCGGGATGCAACCCACAGCAATTGCATTGCTTTCGGGTACCTGCTTAACTGCAAGGTGAAAGGAAGCATGCCCAAGCGTTTCTGTCCACTGCCTGGATTGTGAGACGAAAACGTAAGCCACTGTTCTATACGAAATAAGGTAATTATTAGGAGAAAGCACCAAGACTACGACTATATAGCACTTTGAAGGGATAGGAAGATAAGGATTTAGGATAGAACGGAGGATCTAACGGTCGGGGATTGAACGTCGACCTGCAGGAAGCGAGACCGTCGCTCTACCGTCCAGCCCAAGTGGTTGATAAATAGTGGCAGAGGCTTGGTGCTCTCTCCTGATAATTATCATACCTTCTATAGCGCAATGGTCTACGTTTTGGTCTCACAATCGAGGCATTTTTTGTTATGTTTACCGACGACGTAAGATAAACAGGAAATAAGACAGCAAGAAGGTGCAGGGCAACTTGGGAGTAATCTGACAAGTTGTTACTGGACTTAAACTCCAGCAAATGCAAGGCAATGAAAATGGGGTTTTGGAATCAAGAAGCTGAACACAAGGGACAAATTAACAGGTGAAAATCATCACAGTTGGTGAAAGACCAAACGAATCTACGGGCTCACCATAGCCCGTTTTACTTGGAACTTTTTGTTCCGAGTAGCGAATCTTTAACAACAACAACCAAAAGAATACCTAAGGCTCAGATTCACCAAGCATTTACACAACCGCTTACGAAACCTGTACATCTTTCCTATATAAGAGCAGGTTTGTTTACATTTATTAAACAGTTTACGAGATGAGAAACTTCACAACTCAAGGCTATTGTTGTTATAAACAACCTCGCAGTGCTTCGGGGCTCACAATGTTAGAAACAATTGGGAAAATCTATATAAACAAATGAAAAGTATTTAACTTGGAATAAACAAGACCCTTTCACGTATTGCAATGATCTTTGCCCAGTGTCAGAGGAGAGAAGTGGAATGGTTTAACTCAGAACTCGTGAATAAATTCACCAGTTAATTAAGAATGAGAGGCGAGGCCCAAGAGCTAAAGCTCACTTTCCAGAGACTTAGGTCAGCACCAATACATAAACATCAGGGGGTACACACACACACACACACACACACACACACACACACACACACACACACACACACACACACACACACACACACACACACACACATGGAGAAACTATAGGAATAACAGGACACTGGAGAGCAGAGAAAGATACCAGAATGCCAGCAATGAATATGTCAGGATGAGAAGAGAGGCAGAAAGACAATACGAAAATGACATCGCAAGCAAGGCAAAGACTCAGCCTAAATTGCTGCATAGCCACATCAGGAGAAAAACAACAGTAAAGGAACAGGTTATGAAATTAAGGTTAGGGGCAGAAGGATTCACTACCAACGACAAGGAAGTGTGTGAGGAACTGAATAAGAAATTCCAGGAGGTCTTCACCTTGGAGCAAGGAGAAATCCCAGAGATAAGAGAGGGAATAGCTAACCAGGAACCACTGGAAGAGTTTGAGATTACCAGCGGGGAAGTAAGGAAGTGTTTACTAGAATTGGATGTGACAAAGGCTATAGGTCCAGATGGAATCTCCCCTTGGATACTAAAGGAAGGAGCAGAAGAACTGTGCCTCCCGCTCTCCATGGTGTATAACAAATCACTGGCAACAGGGGAACTGCCAGAAATTTGGAAAGCAGCTAACGTAGTCCCGATATACAAGAAAGGGGATAGACAGGAGGCACTGAATTACAGACCAGTGTCCCTAACCTGCATACCATGCAAGTTGATGGAGAAGATTGTGCGAAGAAAGCTAGTGGAACATCTGGAGCGAAAGAACTTTGTAACACAGCATCAACATGGATTCAGGGATGGCAGGTCCTGCCTCACAGGGTTACTTGAATTCTACGACCAGGCAACAAAAATAAGGCAAGAAAGAGAAGGGTGGGCAGACTGCATATTTTTGGATTGTCAGAAAGCCTTTGACACAGTGCCACACAAGAGGCTAGTGAAAAAACTGGAGATGCAGGCTGGAGTGAAAGGGAAGGTACTCCGTTGGATACAGGAGTACCTAAGTAACAGGAGACAACGAGTCAGTGTGAGACGTTACGAGTGGAGTACCGCAGGGGTCAGTCCTTGGACCTATACTGTTTCTGATATATGTAAATGATCTTCCAGAGGGTATAGAATCGTTTCTCTCAATGTTTGCCGATGATGCAAAAATTATGAGGAGGATTGAAACTGAGGACGATAGTAGGAGGCTACAAGATGACCTAGACAGACTGAGTGAATGGTCCAACAAATGGCTGTTGAAGTTCAACTCGAGTAAATGCAAAGTAATGA